TAAAAGCAATTCCTCTTCCGAACAACTTTTTTTTTTTGAGAGAGGCTTATGCTATAGGGCGCATGCACTTGCCAGACAGACAGAGAGAGACAGAGAGATAGAAAGCGAGACATCACCCCCCAGAGGGGATGGTCACGCCGCAATCCCTTCTCCTCCATTCTCCTCTCGGGATCCTGGGCACGCACGCACACGCGCGTGGCATGAGTTTAAGCCACTGAGCCCGGGACTTGAACCACGGTCGACTACATGGGAGTCCAGTGACATAGCTATTACGCTAACTGCTGGTCCCGGGAACAACTTTTTTTGTACCACCTAAGAGGCCTCTTGATTCACCATGGCAGACTCAGTGATAAAACGTGTGATATTAAAGACAACCATCTTGAAACATTTCTTTTCAACCCAAAATGGAGCTCTATATTGTGTTTGTCATTAATCTACATATTCTTCTCTTCCAGATGACTATAATTGCCAAGTGGAACTTGGTTTGACATCTGATGGCAGGACAATAGTGTGCTACCACCCATCTGTGGACATTCCATATGAACACACAAAACCTTTCCATAGACCAGATCCTGTGTATAATAATTAAGAAACACATGATCAAGTGCTGAAATCCAGGTTACAGAGAAAAGTGAACACCTTGAGCAAGGACCCATGACGGAACAACTTAGCAAACTGTTCTTTACTACTAAGCACCCTTGGTATCCTCATGGACAGTATCACAGACGTCATAAGAAACTGGACCCTCCAAGAGACAGATGACATTGAGGTTCTCAGAGGAATCAGAAATGTGCCTCATTTGTCATTTAAGAAAGTCCCAGGACCAGCAGTTAGTGTAATGGCTATGTCACTGGGTTCCCATGTAGTCAACCACAGTTTGAACCCCAGATCCAGTGGCTTAAACTCACACTGGGCATGTGTACGTGTATGCCCAAGATCCCAAGAAGAGAATAGAGCAGAAGGAATTGTGGCGTGGCCATTCCCCCAGGGAGTGTTTTCTTGCTTTGTCTCTCTGTCTCTCTGGTGAGCGCATGCACCCTGTAGCAAAAACCTCTCAAAGAAAAAAAAAGAAAGAAAGAAAATCCCATGTGGTATATTCACTAATAAGTTATGTAATAAAATAATAATAAAATTTGTTTTCATATATTAAAAAATACTGAAAATTGGTTCTAAAGACTAACAAAATAGACAAATCTGCAACTTCAATCAAAACTAGAATATCTTTAAGTAATCTTAAACTTTGATCAAAACTAGAACAACTTTAAGCAATCTTAAACTCTCCTAAGTGAGGGAACCAGCAGTTAGTGTAATGGCTATGTCGCTGGACTCCCACGTAGTCGACCACGGTTCGTGTCCCGGACCCGGTGGCTTAAAACTCACGGCGGGCACGTTTGCGTGCGTGCCCAAGATCCCGAGAGGAGAATGGAGGAGAAGGGATTGCGGCGTGACCATCCCCCTGGGGGGTGATTTCTCGCTTTCTGTCTCTATGTCTCTCTCTCTCTCTGTCTGGCGAGCACACGCGCCCTATAGCAAAAACCTCTAAAAAAAAAAAAAAAACTCTCCTAAGTGAAAATAGAGTTGTTTGCCAACTCATTTGTTAAGGTTCATATAATTTTAATACCAAATCTGATAAGGACTGTACAAGGAAAGAAATTAATAGGCTAATCTCACTCTTGAAATAGAAGCAAAAAGCCTAAAACAATTTTTAAAAAAATCTAAACTCAGATTAGTAATCCAATTCAGAAATCTTGTATAAACAATAATACACGGGCATGGGTGACTATGAGTAAGCAGCTCAGGAACCCAGAGTGGCAGAACTATTCTGTACCTTGACTGTGGAAGGAATCACATGAGTCTATACATGTGTTAAAATTGCATAGAAATGCACACACATGCACACGTGCACAGGAACAAGTGCATGTAAAGCTGGTGAGGTCTGAGTAAGGTGAATTATATCAACATCAACTCTCTATAGTACTTTCTGTACTATAGATATGCAAGATGTTGCCATTGGAGAAATTTGAATGAAGGGCACAGAGATTTGCTGTATTATTTCTTATGATGGCATATGAATCTACAATGATCTCAAAATAAAAGGATAAAGGGACCAGCAGTTAGCATAACGGACTATGTCACTGGACTCCCATGTGGTCGACTGCAGTTTGAGTCCTGTACCCGGCAGCTTAAATTCACACCAGGTGTGTGTGCGTGTGTGCCCAAGATCCCACGAGGAGAATGGAGGAGAAGGGATTGCAGCGTGGTCATCTCCCTGGCGGGTGATTTCTCATTTTCTGTCTCTCTGTCTGTCTCTCTGGCAAGTGCACACGCCCTATAGCAAAATCGCTCCAAAAAACACAAAAAATAAATAAATAAATAAAATGATTTTAAAAAATACATTATGATCCAGTTGGGCTGGTTTTCCTCAGGAATTCAAGGATGGATTAGCATTAGAAAATTTATCAATGTAGTATTGCATTAACAGATGGTTGGAGAATAAAACGTTTCTATAAACGGACAAAGGGTATCATTAAGAATCTACAACAGGGCCAGCCAGTGGTATGGAGTTAAGGCAGCTGGATTCCATATGGCCAACTGCATGACTGAGCCCCAGACACAGGGGTTTGAAAAACACACCAGGCACATGTGCATGTTGTGCTCAAAATCCTGAGAGGAGCATGAAGAAGGAATTGAGATGTGGCTTTTCTTCTCTTTCTTGCCCTTTCCAGTGAGCACATTGCAAAAAAAAAAAAGAAAAGATCTACGGCAAAGGTGAGCAAAGGTGACAATGGAAAATAGAAGCAGTCAGAATAGAACTTCCACAAGCTCCACCCATCACCTACCTAAATACCTGGACCTGAGCCCATATGCTCTGCCTCCCCTGTTTCTGTCGATGAGTTGTAGATGCTCTTGCCTCCTTAATTTTTGTGAAAGTACCTTTTTTTAAAAAATTTGGTACAGGGAGCATGCACTCACTAGCTTAAGAGGGATATTGTGGGGGGTGGGTGGGGTGGGGATGGAGAGTATGAGAAAGCATCCCCTGGGGGGATGGTCACAATGCAATCCCTTCTTCTCTTAGGATTTTGAGCATGCACACATGTTCACAAGTGCACCCAGTGTGTTTTTCAAGTCACCAGGCCTGGGACTCGAACTGTATAACTGGCCATGTGAGTTCCAGGTGCCTTAACCACCATGCCACTGGCTGGCCCAGCAAATATCAACCTTTTTAATGAGGTCATGTCTGATCCCTGCTCAGGCAATTGCAACCCCTGTCCTCAACATGTCTTATCCCACTTGCTGTTTTATATTCTTCCAAAGCATGTATCAAATTTTGAAATAGCATATATTTTATTTGTTACTGTCACTCTCTCTCAACAAGAATATAGGCCTTATTGGGACCAGCAGTTGGCGTAATGGCTATGTCGCTGGACTCCCATGTAGTCAACCACGGTTCAAGTCCCAGACCCAGTGGCTTAAACTCACGCCAGGTGCATGTGTGTGCGTGCCCAAGATCCCAAAAGGAGAATAAAGGAGAAGGGACTGAGGTGTGGCCATCCCCCCATGGGGTGATTTCTCACTTTCTGTCTCTCTACCTTTCTGGCGAGAACATGTGCCCTATAGCCAAAAACTCTCCCTCACTCAAAAAAAGAATATAGGTTTCATGATGGGGACCGGCAGATGGCATAATGGTTATGTTGCTGGACTCCCACATAGTCAACCTAAGTTCTAGTCCCAGACCCAGTGGCTTAAAGCTCATGCTGACCATGTGTGCATGCATGCCCAAGATCCTGAGAGGAGAATGGAGGAGAAGGGAGAGTTGAGAAATCAATCACCCCTGTCTCTCTGTCTGTCTTTGTCTTTGTCTCTCAGGCAAACGTATGTGCCCTATAGCAAAAATCTCTCTTTAAAAAAAAAAGAATATAGCCTTGATGAAAGCACGAATTTTCATGTATTTTGTTCACTGTGGAATGCCTAGAGTATAGAAAAGTACCTAGAACATGGTAGGTATGCAAAAAGAATTTGTTAAATAAATGGTGAAACGTTGGAAGTTTTCCCTTAAAATCAGGATCTGCTATACTAGCCTCTATTCAACATTCAACTGAGGTCATGGCCAGTGCAGAAAGAGAATAAGGAAGATGAGGACAGAGAGAAACTGAGACATCTAGGCCATCATGCAAAGTGCAGCAGAGATAGACTTGGAATATCTGTCTGGACTTCTAGGAGCTTTCTGGTTCTTGATTCTCGTCCCCTTTAAATTCTGAAAGAGCCCTTACCTTGCGAGGATATTCCCTGTTTTGCTTATGCTAGCTCACCCGGGTTCTGTTCCATGGAATCTTGACTAGGCAATGCCAAGTCTGCTCTGTGTACTACGGAGGAAGAAGGGAAGGGATGTGAGAAAGAAATCCACAGTCCCTGTCCTGAAGGACACACTTGGGAGTGAAGACACAGCAGTGGCAATACGTCCACTGAATAAAGGATCAGCAGTGGAAGCTAGCAGAGGGAACACGCGTCTGGGAGTTCAAAGATCCAGGTCATAGACTGACTCTGCCAGACCGTGAGAACTTGGGCAAGTTAAGTAAACACTACAAGACCATTTCCCCATCTGTAAGCCAGGATGTTACTACTATGCTACCTCCTGCATAAGATTACCATAAAGAATACTCAATGTGAGCGTCCCTAGGCTACTATACAATTCTGGGGCTGAGCATAAATAATTAAATGGCAGAAGAATGTAGCCTTCTTGACCCTCTACACCAAGATACCTGAGAAAGTCATTTTCTAGCAGAGTCTTTGCACCCAAGATGGTGCTAGGAATAAGCCTACTCAGCCCGGATGGAAAGGAGGAATAGGGAAGCCTCAGTACAACTGAAGCTCAGAGTGACAGGAGACCATTCTTCCCGAACATCCAGTTTTTCTAGTAACACAATGAGTAGGTAAGATTGGACTTGTCCAAGTCCCTAAGGCTAGGGTTTTATGCTGAGAGGGGTGAGGGGAGAAATTACCACTGCTCTCTGGTTCTTCCCTGGCAGGACCTCAGCTACATACTTGGTGATGCCAGCACTCTGTAGCTGCAGCCTCTCACACTGGTCCACAATCTTGTTCTGCAACACAAACAACAGTCATAGGGTCTTGATCCATGCACACAGGTCAGTCACTCTACTCCAATGATTTTTTATTTTTTTATCCCACCTCAGACACCCATTTCCGTGGACCTCATCATTATTAAAAACTATCCCAGGACCAGCTAGTGGCATGGTAGTCAAGGTGGCTGGATCCCATGTGTCTGATTATGTGGTTCAAGTCCCAGACCTGGTGGCTTGAAAAGAAACACACCAGGCATGTGTGGATGTGTGCCCAAAATCCCAAGGGAAGAATGGAGGAGAAAGGACTGCAATGTGGTCATCCCCCCAAAGGATGCTTTCTCACTTTTCCTCTCTCTCTGTCTCTCTCCAGCCAGCACACATACCCTGTAGCAAATTAAATAAAAATAAATGCTACATACATACATACAAACTATCCCACTTCTAAAATCTTCATTTCAAGGATCCTACACCATGTCTACCATATCCGTCCTTCTAGCTCACTAACTCTAGAATCCCCATTCCAACGATCTTCAGCCCAGGTGGGGTCTCCAATGCATCAGTCTTATACCACTTTCCACTCTCCATCATCCCCTTTTCTGTGGCCTCCCTTCTTTCTTTATCTTGAAATCCCATGGCCCATCATTACAATCACTTCCTTGCAGATACTCTCAAGCCTCCATCATCCCCAGCTCCTTGACTCCCTACACCCACACGGAGCAGAACGTGGCTTCTCAAACTGTTCTCCCCCAAGTTATCCACACTTATCAAATGGTACCATCAATCATCAGCCTGGTACCCAAACTAAAAATCCAGGAGTTTCTCTCTAACCCCTCGTTTCATCAGTGAGTCCTATCAGCCCCATCCCTAAGTCACTTTCTCTTCTGCCCACTTGCACTCTTATTATTCTAGCCAGATCACCACCATCTCTCATAGGAAACACTATTAGAACCTCTTGACTGGGTTTCCATTCTTGACAACCCCCCACCCCAATCCCATTGGCCACAGCCACTTTTTGTAAGCAAATCAGATCAGCACCAGAACCGTGCAATGGCTTTCTAGCACACAGTGAAATCAAACTTGTGACCTTTGCCAGCAAGGTCCTACCTGATGTGACCTCACTTCTCTCTCCAATGGCACCTCCTACCATTCTTTATACTGCTACATTGACATTCTTTCTGTTTCTTTCTTTTTTTTAGAGAGATTTTTACTATAGGGTGCATGCACTCACCGCAGAAATGGAGAGACAGAAAGTGAAAAATCACCACCACCACCCCCCGGGGGGAGATGGTCATGCTGCAATCCCTTCTCTACTCTCCTCTCGGGATTTTGGGCACTCATGCACAGGTACCCAGAGTGTGTTTCAAGCCACCAGATCCAGAACTCGAACCGTGGTAGGTCATGTGGGAGTCCAGTGACGTAACCATTATGCCATCTGCCAGCCCCTCTTTCTTTTTGTTCCTTCTGTCTGAGCAGCCTTCATATGTGTATATATAAACATGTCTTGTTCTCCCAACTCCATTCAAACATCACCTCTTCAGAGAGGCCTTCACTGACCATCTCCCTCCATCTCCCATCTCTCACTTAGCTTTATTTTCTTTCTTGCATTTATAATTCTCTGACTATGTGTAGGATGTGGTGTTTTTTGGTATCTGTTCCCCCTTACAACTGGAACAGAAGCATCATGACTTCGACTTGTTGTCTATGTCCCACTTCCTAGGAGAGAGCTTTTGCACACAAGAGACCCTGACTAAATATCTGTTGAATGAATGAACATCCACTACCTTGACCAGAAGAGGTTCAGTGCATCACAGCTTCCAAAGTTAGGAACAGGGGAGAGCTTTACAAAAAGGAAAGCAAAGGCTCACAGAGAAGTGACTTCCTCAGGAGACACGGCCAGGCCCCTGCTTGCCACTCCATTTTTCCAGATAATAGCTGGGGTCTTTCTGGGCTGGCCCCATGGCATAATGGTTAAGGCGAGCCAAATCTCACATGGCCAACCACAGTTCAAGTCCCAGCCCTGACAGATGGGGAACACTCCAGGCATGTCTGTATGTACATGACGGTCCAATCTCACAGGTGGAGGTGGAGGTGGAGGTGGAGGTGGAGGAGAGGTGTGATCACACCTCAGTACCCATGCCCTCTGGCAAAAAAAAAAAAAAAAAAAAAGCTAGCTGGATCCCTTGCAAGCAGCAGTCCTTCCACTACTGCCCCCACAAGTTGCCAAAAGGCAACTACACTACCTCTTTCAGGAAGCCCTCTTAAGTCTTTCCCTCCCACTAGTAGCAATTCGTCTTCACAAGTCCATATACAAAGTTAGAGTATTGAATTGGCAAGGAGGAGGTACTAATCACCATGGACCATGCAACTAAGGGCACTGGCACTCGCTTCTGAAAGCTCCAGGGCGGGAATCCAGACGGGAACAGTTGAACTGGGGCTGTTTTTGCACAGTTCAGTCTTGCCCTGGGAGAAATGTCTTTGCTGGCTGGAGGGATGGGGGTAGGAGTGTCCAAAAGACATACACTCTACTCGAAATGGAGAGAGAGGGGGCAAGATTCCCCTCCCTGTTGGTAAAGATGAACGTGCTCAGGGTCTGGGTAAGGGAATCAGGAAGGCTCTCTGGGCAGCAGACATTCCAAAGCAAGCACTAGGTTGGACACCCAGTCCCTTCCTAGGCCCCTTTCAGCACTCAGCTCAACCCAGACAGCTCATTCTTAAGGTTTTCTCACTCAGTTAACATCACTTCCTCCCTCCAACCACTGTAGCAAAGAGGAGGTTTCCTCTTGCTTAATCAATGAGTCCCCCAATCCAGCCTCTGAACATTAGGAACCTTGGAGGAGTCACTGCCCAGCTCTGGGTCTCGGCTTCCTCATCTGTAGGACGTAGGTAGGCCCACTACTTCAAAGGCTTGGTCTGGGTGGAATGAGATGATGGACAGCCAAGTGTTTTGGAATATGCTCTGGGTCTCGGCTTCCTCATCTGTAGGACAGCCAAGTGTTTTGGAATACGCTAAGTTTCTATCCATTATGCAAATTGGGATACCATCAGCACTACTGGAGATAGTGGTAGGTAGTAGAGGTAGGCCCAGCCAGGAACCCCATTCCCTCCCAGCCCCAACAACCAGTGAGAAGTGTTCATTACAGTCTGGTCTGAGTAGGTGAAGTCCCCAAGGAGATCTTCCCACTTCATAGCAGAGCTGCGCTCTAGGGTGGGGTTGGGAGAATCAAGCCATTTAATCCAATTGCAAGGAAATTCCCAGGGGCCACAGTTGGGTAGGAGGAAGCCCCAAGGTGATTTCCACCCTCCAATCTCAGCAGCTGGGGAGAGGGGTGGTAACAGGAAGGTGACAAGCCTGAAGCCCAGCTGGAAGAGGAGGGGAGAACCTCCAGATTTCCTCCCTGCCCCCTCCATTTATCCAGGTGAAACCAGTTCGAAGTACAGTCACCGCCAATCCTGAAAGAGAAGAGAGATCACCTCACCAGGAAGCATGCAGAGTGGAAAGCGGGGCTTTGAGTCAAGGGGTTGAAGGGTAGGAGGGGCCAGGAAAGGGGGGCTTTGAGTCAAGGGGTTGAGGGGTAGGAGGAGCCAGGTTTTATCACAAGTCGGCATCCACAGGGGCGGGAGCACACCTTGCACCCAGGAACTGGAGCAGCTGAGCCTTTTATAGCCCAAGCCTAGTCCCAGCTCCCTCAACAGCACAACGGAGAGGGGAGGAGCTGTGTCTGCCACTATGTGACAAGCACGACGGCATTTTACCCACTATCTTAATTCTATCGCATAACCAGGCTAACAACTACACGCTGCTATTGCCCCAAACTACCAATGAAGACACGCAGGCTCAGTGTTATGTGACTCACAGAGAAGATGAAAAAGGGGTAGGATTCGAACTCAGCGGGTCCTGACTCAAGAGGCCATACCCTTAACCGCCTAATTCTACAGTTTCAGACTCCAGAGTTGGCCATCAGGTCTGCCGTGCTCCAGACTTTCCTGTACCGGCCGGGCCCCTCCTAAAGCACCCCCTCCCTACGGAGCGCCCCGCCTTCCGGCGCCCACGCCCGCTCACCCGAAGCTCCTCGGCGCACTCCTCCGCCCGGCGGATGCGGTGCCCCCGGCAGCGGCCGTCCTGCCCCGCGCAG